TGACTAATCTATTATCTAGATCTCCTGTGGGTCTATTCCTATTTCTGGTTTTTCTCTTAGCTTTCTTGTATACCTGATTATTTTTGATTCAGTGCCAAACACTGTATGTCAAAAACTGGAGTGAGGATTTGAGGCTCTGGATGTTACCTTCCTCTGGAGAGGATTTATTTTTGCTTCTGGAAGGCCGGTAGACTAGAGATGCAGGCAATCCCAAATCTCCTTAATTCAACCAGTATTGAAATGATTCAAAGCAGGACTCTAGATCCTATGAGGCCTGGCCTAATTCTGGATCACCCCTTACTCCCAATGAATGGCCTTTCAGGGTCAAAACCAAAAGCCTACGGTATTGACTAGGGTCCTTCCTACCTGGTAGGTCTTGATTTAAATTTTATCCCCAGCCCTATAAGTCTGGCAAGAGCTCTGCTCAGCTTCTTATTCATGCTTTCGTCCTAAAAATCCAGTCTACCATTGCTAGAAACAATGGGCTTGGAGTCCAGAGACCTGAGTTCTAGTCTGTACAGCTGGTAACCAGCTCTGTGATTAATGGGCTCGATTTCTCAAGGTTCTCAAATCCTTGCATGCAAAATGCATCTGGATAAGTATATTTAGGTTCCTTCATGCTCTCCAAGTTTCACATATCCCTCTGAACTCTTACATTAGACAATCCCAGGTAACACATTCTTCTGTGAATCCATCAATGCCCAGACCATTGAAGATTACAACTTTCCAACGTCATAAGAGCATTACAGCAAATGGTCTTACACCACACCTCATGGATTTAGATTTACAAACAAACTTGTTCAAATCCTGGAATTGTGCCTGTTCACACTGAAGTTCCTTATTACTTGTTGTCCTGGCTACTAAACCATACAGAGTTGACAAGGACACACCTAACCCTAAGGCTGAAAACCAAAGAGAAAGGCCCAACCTGAAAGAAAGACAGGAGTCCCTGTGGGGCATCACTGTGCCAAATGGCATGCAATAAACAGACATGGAGCAAACAGGCCCGAGTCACAGCAAAGGGCTGAAACTATTCTTTTTAAAGACAAAGGATGCTGACTGTGTCTCTGGCGGCAGATCAAAGCAGAAGAGTCAAACAAACTCCAGCCTTTGGTTTTTCAGAAGCAAAAAATCTATTTTCCTCAGCAGATGAGTATAACAGAAGATACACCAAATGTTCTATTTGTCTTCATGACGGACAAAAGAAACCAGTGGTTCAAACAATGACGGGCTGAAACAAAGGCTCACTTTCATAAGCACAGAGCAGACCTACTAGAGTAACTTCATTACTAAGGGAACATTCTTCTACACACGCTTGCCAACTCTGGCCCAAGTTCCTCACCGCTCAGCCTCTGTGTGCCCCGGCTCCCCGACTACAGAGCTCCTGGCCTACCTCTACCTCTTCTCTGTAGGATACAGAAAATGGACACTGGCACCTCCTGTGCAGCAGTGACTCCCCTTCTTTGTAGTATCCAGATCCACCAGACAGGAAAGGATTTATTCCAAAAGATGTGCTGCAGCCAATACCCCTAGAGGGGATCATCTCCAGGCTTTTCCATGCTCCAGTAACACATCAGCTAGAAGCAACTGAACACTACGCTGAGCCTGACTTTTTCCAAGAGACCCTGTGTGCAGTGGGAAAAGCACTGGCCCTAGGAACTATGTTTGAGTCCCGAGCTTTACCACTACCTAGTTATGTTCACGCAGGCATCTGAAATTTATGAGACCCTCGTGGCATAGTGGTTAAGTGCCACGGCTGCTAACCAAAAGGTTGGCAATTTGAATCTACCAGGCACTCCTTGGAAACTCTATGGGGCAGTTCTACTCTGTCCTATAGGGTCGCTATGAGTCGGAATCGACTCAATGGCAACGGGTTTGGTGTTTTTTTTTTTTTTTGGTGTTGTTTATGGGCCAGGCCCTCTGCTAGGCACTAAGGATATAGGGGTGACTGAAACACACAAAGTGTGCCATTAGGAAGCTTACATTCTAATGGAAACCTCAGTTTCCCCATCTGTATGTGGAATGAGGATGCTAGACTGAGTAATCTCTAAGGTTCGTTTTGATGTGAAAGTGCTAAGGTTTTACGATCTGAGCTGCAGCCCTGGCTGGTCGCCCATTTCTGTGTGGCTGTGGACTGGCACAACCTCTCTGGGCCTCAGTTCCCACATCTAGAGAGCAGCCAGGTTAGATGTGAAAATGCACCCAGTTACCTTGTGCAGCCACAATGGAAGGTTCCCAGTGTCACTCCGCAGAGAGTCCTTCTGCTGGACAGCAGCCCAACAGTAAGAATCCACAAAGGCAGCCTGGCGCCAGGAGAAAGAACTTGGGGAGAAACAGCTTATCTGTGTACCTGAGAAGCAAAACAGATAGTTCTGAATAAATAAATAAAACAGTTGTCTGGAACCTTCCCAACCCACCCACCCACGTCTCCCTGCCTTCCTCGCGTTTTCCAGTCCCATCTAAGTCACGGAGCACCGTGGCAGGAGGCAGGGACATTAGTGAGGGCAGAGCTAAACCCTGACACCTAAGTTTATGGTAAAGCCAAGTATTTAAGGGCTTTTTGGCCAACACTGGTCATGATGATGGCTTGAGTTCTGTCAGGAAAAGACTTAAAAAAGTGAAACCACTATAAAAAGAAAAAGTGAGCAGGAAAGGAACCAGAGCCAAAAACATCAGGGGGAAATGTGGATAGTTTTAGTTTGGGGTAAGGTGAGATAAAGAAGGGGTGTGTGGAGATGGGCGGTGAGGAGCAGAGTCAGTGCAGAAAACTGGATTAGAAAATGAGTGCTTGCGGTGCCCTGGTTGCACAATGGTTAAGAGCTCAGCTGCTAACCAAAAGGTCAGCAGTTCGACTCCAACAGCATCTCCTTCGAAACCCTATGGGGCAGTTCTACTCTGTCCTATGGGGTCACTGTGAGTCAGAAGCGACTCAACGGCAACAGGTTTGGTTCGGGTTTCAGAACAAAGAACTTTTAGCCTGAGGAAGAAAAGGCTAAGGGAACATCTGGTGACAGATCACCGTGTGGAAAATCAGCAGTGGGAGATCAGCAGAGATGGTAGAAAACCATCTCGAAGAAAGAAAAGAAAAAAAGCTGCAGCATAAGCAGTTTACACTTGGAAGACAAGATACAAAGGAGATGCACGTTGGCGGGAAACATGCTGGAGGGGATCCAGAGACCTGGGCCCCACTCCAAGCTCTGCCAAAACTTGCTCTTCGGGGAAGGAAAGCTGGGACTCGGTTTCCTCCTGTGAAAACTGAAGCCTACATCACTCAGCAAATGCTACCACTATGTCAGTAAAACCTACAACGTTGAAGACTGGTCATGTTACTGAGTGCCTGTGGTCTCCTGACTCACAGGGTCACGGCGGGAAAGTGGCCAATATGACCTTCAGGGCTCAGGCAGAAGCCATCTCTTCCCTCCTCACCAGCAAGCAGAGAGCTGGGCACTGAGCCTGTCCTGGCAGCCCCTGGTCCAGCCCTGCTCCTCTCCCCATAAAGCTCACATAAGGTGGGTGTGTGCTACAGAGATGGTGCACAGTAAATAATTTATCTGGACTTTGTCCTGAGTTCCTGGGAGGTAACCTCTAAACCCCTGAAATTCCCCTAGTGACAGGGGTGTCTTTTTATTCATGGTGGGCCCCTCAGGCCACACCTGATAGTTAGTGTTAACGGGGGTGGGGGTGGCGGGGGGGTGCTGGCCACGCCAGGAGGACCCACCATGTGACATCAGCCCGACCCCTGGGGAAAGGAGAGGGGCTGGAGACTGAGTTCAATCATGTGACCAAGCATGCCTACATAATGAAACCCCAAGAAGAAACGCTGGACACCAAAGCTCTGTTGTGCTTCTCGGTTTGATGATATTCTCCCTATTACCTCACATCAGTGTGCTGAGGGGGTGAGGGGGTGACGTGTCCCTGAGGACAACAAAGCTTTACATTCTGGGCTCTCCCAGACTTGGCCCTGGGCATCTCTCCTTCTGGCTGGTTCTGACTCGCACCCTTTCACTACAACTGTAACCGTAAGGATCGTGCTTCCCTGAGTTCTGTGAGTTGTTCTAGAAAATTATGGATCTGAGGAGCTAGTGGGAACCCGTCAATCTGCAGCCAGCTAGTCAGAAATGAGGGTGTCCTGGGGAGCCCTGCGCTTGCGGCTGGTATCTGAAGTGAGGGCAGTTTTGTGGAGGGAAGAATACGCCCATAACCTGTGAAGTCTGGTCTAACCCCAGGTAGTCGATGTGAGAACTCAATGCAGTTGAAGACCAACTGAGACTCCAAAGCAGACACACTCTCCTCCACATCCTCCACAGTATGAAAAGTGCTATGTGCTCAGGCTCTGACATGAGCTGTATTTAAACCTAGCTGTGCCATCCATAGCTGGGTGACCTCAGGTAAGTCACTTAACCTCCCAAAGCCTGGGGTTCCTCATCTCTGAAATAGGAATGACATTTATATCTACATTACAGATCTGTTGTGATAACCAAATAATTTTAAAAAAGGTAGTTGCTACAGTACTCAGTATAGTACCTGGTTCACAGTAGTTGCTCAATAAATATTACATTCTTCTATACGAGATAACCAGTCAATTCTGGTATAGTTTTCAAGATTGAGGGCCTGCCCACCAATCTCGCCACTCTATGTACAGGGGATAGGGAGAGCAGGAAGACATCTAGCCGGACTATCCTAGTCTCTAGAACATAAAAGAAGGCCACCTTTCCCTGGGAAGGAAAGTGGCCTTTATACTTTTGGGAGGAGAGGGAAGTGATGAGGACGTTGTCAAGAGCATGTCAGGGTGCATGGACGAGACCCTGAGTGCCCCTCCTCCTCATCAGATGCCTTTATGCCCACAGATGTCAAAAACAGACATCTTAGTGTGAGCTCTTAGACTAGGTCATCATGAAAAATCAGCAGACCATCATAAAGTGTCATATAATAAGGTAGCTGTCACCAGCCAGGAATGGCTTAAATGTGACTTGGGGGAAAGAAAAATATTTCAAGGTCTCTTCTGACTCTTTTATCCCATTAAACCTGAGTTCCTACATTTTATTAAAAATAGAGTAGTAAAGGACAGCACAGACCACAGGACTAACCTCACATTGCATTTGTACCAGTGTGACTTTGTCAAATGCTTCCTATGCTGCCCCATCCTCCAGGGGTCTACTGACTGCAACGGCAGATGAGCAGGCAGTCCCGGTTAAACATGGATGACTTCTTGTAAGTTGCTTGCTTGGTAACATCTGTTCAAATACTTTCTCATGAAAATAAGCAATGCTCCTAGGATTTTAAGGAAGTCTGCCTGGCCCATAACAGTCCATAGGTACAGTCCTCATATGCATGCATCCATTCAACATTTATCACATTCTTCCTGTAGGAAAATGCGCTTCAAGTTCTGCCTTAGGACTCAGGTGCCTCCCCAGGGAAGTGGTGGAAACTCTCGAAAACAAACGGCTAAGCTTTTTTTTTTTTAGCAAAGCTTTTGCAAAAAAGGAAGGGAAATACAGCTGAGTCTAGAGAGATGGATATTAAGGACGTGCTGAGCTCATAACTAAATGTTCTTCGTCTGTAATGGAACGTCAGAAGAAAGGACAGCAGGAAACCAATATTCATTGGACACCCATGAGCCCTTTCAATCATGTATTTAATCCTCACAACCAGACTGAGTTGCAGGAAACAAACTCAAAGTAGTTCATCAGTCCCCTACCCAAGCTAGCCAATGGTACCACCAGATTTTGAATCGTATCCAACTCCCAGTCTCTTTCACAGTCCTGTCTGGGCCAACCACTCCTCTCGAGCTCAGAGTCTGCGAGGCCATGCTCGATAATGTCTCAGGAGCCAGGGCTCTGTTGGAAAGGGTGGCTGGAGCAGCTGGTTCCTCCAAGTGATCTGGAGTGGGAAGGCTCCTGGGAAGTGCCAAGGATAAAATTCAGAAAAACAAACAGATCATCAAGCCCCAAGTACAGTCTTAGGCCCAAAAAAGAAATGAAGGCAGAAAGTCAAGAGTCTGGCGGGGCAGAAACCAAATCGGGAGTGAAGAGCTGGAGTACAGAGAGGGCAAAGCAAGAGGGTGCACGGTGCCCCGCACAAGCTGGGCTGTGCAGCCCTGTGCCTTTACCCAGGGTGTGATGGCTCAGCCTGGCTAAAAGGCATGGGGCCTAGGAAGCTTGGGCTTGGGCCGTGAACCATCTCAACTCTCCATCTCTCCAAATACACGTCCACAATCTCTTTACTGTCCAACAAGATTTAAAAAAAAAAAAAGTTCCCATCAAGTCGAATCCAACTCATGGCAACCTCATGTGTTGCAGAGTAGAACTGCGCTCCATAGGGTTTTCAAGGCTGTGACTTTTTTGCCAGAATACTCATCAGAAAGCTCAGTTCTGATTGTCACACAACCCTGGCTCACCATCTTTTACTGGTTCCCCATTACCCAGAATCCAAATCCAAAACCGACGCTCCAATCAAACCCAATTATTGCTGCAGCCTGCACAGGCCTCATGCATCCCCAAATACGTGCCATTCCTCACACTATTCTCTCTGCCTGGAGGACCCTCTCTCCAACATCTGCTGGTTAAGCCAGTGCCCCATCCACAACATCTACCTCAATGGCCCACCTTTCAGTGCAAACAACACTCTGTCCAGTTTTCTCCCCACTGAGCTCTCACACCACTCTAAAGCCATCAGAGACATGCAGATAATCACCTTCAATTGTGTTGTATAAAAACTCCAGTGATCTCAGCTCTTAAGCAGGCAGGGCACACGCGCACGCACACACACACACATACACACTCACTATCTCTCATCTCTCTCTGTTTCTCCCTGTCTCTGTCTCCTTCCCACAGCATCCTGTATTCAATAAATAATGTCTGGTACTTTCAAAATTTCAAAGTATTATCATAAGTACTGTTTCAACTAATGTCTAATGTTCACAGTATCCCTGTCAGATATCACTGCCCCATTCAACAGATGAGAAAATAGAGAGGCCCGTGACTTGCTATAATTCTCCACCCAATGAGTCCTGTGCTCTTCCCACTCCACTCCACTGTGTGCCGGCTGAACAGGTACTTGGATTCCTAGGAACAGCTAAGGTGCACCTGACCCAAGCCATGGTATTTCCAATCGCCTCAAATGCATGCAAAAGCTGGACAACGAATAAGGAAGACCAAAGAACAACTGATGCCTCTGAACTATGGTGCTCGCGAAGAATACTTAATATACTATGGACTGCAAGAAGAACGAACAGATGTGTCTTGGAAGAAGCACTGCCAGAATGCTCCTTACGAGCAAGGACGACGAGACTTCGTCTCACATACTTTGGAC